ACCTGGGGAGTTCATCTTTCAGAGTCCTATGTTTTTGCCTTTTCATACTGTTCATGGAGTTCTCAGACAAGAATACTGAAGTGGTTTTCCATTTCCTTCTCCAGTGGACCACGTTTTGCCAGAACTTTCCACCATGACCTGTCCATCTTGGGTGGTCCTACACGACATGGCTCATAGTTTCATTGAGTTAGACAAGGCTGTGGTCCATGTGATCAGATTGGTTAGTTTTCTGTGATTGTGGTTTTCATTCTGTCTGCCCTCTGATGGAGAAGGGTAAGAGGCTTATGGAAACTTCCTGATGCAAAAACTTGGTCTAGTTCTGATGGGCCGGGCCATGGTCTGTTGGATCATCGAAAAAGCAAGAGAGTTCCAGAAAAACATCTACTTCTGCTTTATTGACTATGCCAAAGCCTTTGACTGTGTAAACCACAACAAACTGTGGAAAATTTTTCAAGAGATGGGAATACCAGACCACCTGACCTGTCTCCTGAGAAATCTGTATGCAGATGAATAAGCAACAGTTAGAACTGGACATGCAACAACAGACTGGTTCCAAATTGGGAAAGGAGTACGTTAAGGCTGTATATTGTCACCCTGTTTATTAAACTTATATGCAGAGTACATCATGAGAAATGCTGGACTAGATGAAGCACAAGCTGGAATCAAGATTTCTGGGAGAAATATCAATAACCTCAGATATGCAGATGCACCATCCTTATCGCAGAAAGCAAAGAAGAACTAAAGAGCCTCTTCATGAAAGTGAAAGAGGAGAGTGAAAAAGTTGGCTTAAAGCTCAATATTCAGAAAACCAAGATCATGGCATCTGGTCCCATTACTTTATGGCAAATAGATGGGGAAACAATGGAAACAGTGAGAGACTTTATGTTTTGGAGCTCCAAAATCACTGCAGATGGTGATTGCAGCCATGAAATTAAAAGACTTTTACTCCTTGGAAGGAAAGTTATGACCAATCGAGACAGCATATTAAAAAGCAGAGACATTGCTCTGCCAACAAAGGTCCATCTAGTCAAAGCTTTGGTTTCTCCAATGTGTACGGATGTGAGAGTTGGACCATAAAGAAAGCTGAGTGCTAAAGAATTGATGCTTTTGAACTGTGGTGTTGGAGAAGACTCTTGAGAGTCCCTTGGACTGCAAGGAGATCCAACCAGTCCATCCTAAGGAAAATCAGTCCTGGGTATTCATTGGAAGGACTGATGTTGAAGGTGAAACTCCAATACTCTGGCCACCTGATGCAAAGAACAGACTCATGAGAAAGGACACTGATGCTGGGAAAGATTGAAGGTGGGAGAAGGGGATGACAAAGGATGAGATGGTGGGATGGCATCACCAACTTAATGGACATGAGTCTGAGTAAACTCTGGGAGTTGGTGTTGGACAGGGAAGCCTGGCACGCTGCAGTCCATGGGGTCGCAGAGTCAGACACGAATGAGTAACTGAACTGAACTGACTGACCCAGAAGTTGTATGGAGAGCAGCCTCTTGAACTTGGATGTGAATTAGAAAGGAATTTCTGTAGCAAAAGAAAACAGAGAGGCAAGTTGTTTCCAGTAAGTTAAGCTCAACAAATGGGTTTTCTCCACACATTCTACTCCTTTTTAAAGGTGCCTGCTGTGTGTGTTGGGCACCACGCAGAACACTTCTGCTCTAAAGGATTCACATTCTTGTGGGGAAGCCAGTTGGGAGCAGCCACTTTACAGCTGGGGCTTCGCTGTTGACTCAGATGGCAGAGAATCAGTCTGCAGTGCAGGAGACAAAGATTGATCCCTGGGTTGGGAAGATTCCCTGGAGAAGAGAATGGCAACTCACTCTAGTATTCTTGCCTGGAGAATCCCATGGACAGAGGAACCTGGCAAGCTACAGTCCATGGGGTCTCAAAGAGTCGGACACAACTGAAGCGGCTAACACTTTCACACTTCTCACCAACGGTACTAGCAATCTCAGAGGTGAGAAGTGATCTCACTGTAATTTTAAGTGAGACTGGGCATATGAATATGTATCTGAGAGTGAGTTTATTCCTTTATTGTGAACTGATGGTTTTAATTATATTGAAGTTATCGTGCAAATTAAATGAAGAGATCCACATGAAGTGCCTCCTACAGACCCTGATGCTTAGTTCAGTTCAATCATGTATGCGCATCCATACATGACTACTGGAAAAACCATAGCTTTGACTAGACGGACCTTTGTTGGCAAAGTAATGTCTCTGCTTTTTAATATGCTATGTCTGGGTCAATGGACCCTCTGAAACCAGCCTGGCTACAGAGGCTGCTGGTGACTTTACTCCCCATTTCCATGTTACTGAAATAACCGCACTGCCCCACAATGCTTGGCCACAGGTAATCTGGCCTAGATCATGAGGAAAATGAATACTGAAAGGGTGAGATAAAGAGTATAATCAGTTGCCCTTGCTTAGACTCTGTCTAAAATTCACAGTAACTAAAATAATTTAGGAGAACATAAGGGATAAGCATGCAATCTCCACAAACATCAAATGTAGAAAAAATCATGTGACAGCATTCACAAAATCTAAAGAATACACATGATCTATCTTATAAGGTATGGATTCAAACTTCAATTTCATTCTAATGGGCTACTGTGAGGGAGATAAAACTATTTTAAACAAAAACCACACACAGAATAAATGTATAAGTTTCCTCGTGATACTCACTAAGGCTTCAATGTATTTTCTTATTGAAACAATCAAACAAGCTCTTGGTGAAAAGATCTTATACAGATGTCAGAACAATGTAAAAACTGAAACTATTTATAATGAAAAAATTTGTTTAAAGAAGGTAAATCACTTCTTATTTTTCTCATTTTGAGAAGAAGCTATGTTTCACTTGGCAATAACTCTTCTCTCATTCTCTCTGAGAATCCATACAAAAGCAATATCTCAACTAAAATCAATTCTGAAGGATCTTTTATGAAAATGCATAATGCAGAAGACCCCAATTAAATTTTCAGCAAACCACTGCCATTTTGAGTAAACAAAGTCAATCTCAATAGGGTCACACTTTTAGCAAGAACTGCAGCCTAGAAATTAATTACTAGTGTGACGTATGTCAAAACAAATTTTTAAAAGAACAGAATGCAGTTGTAACCATGTTTTACCTATTTGTATGCACAATGAGTATTCTCCGGCATGTAAATGCATTCATTCATTCGGCATCTCACAGAAAAATAAAAAAGAGATGTATTGCCCACCTCTCTTTTTCCTGCACCCAGGTGAAACCTGAGTAAATAACAAGTGTTTAGTGAGTCAGAAAATAAGTACAGAATGAAGATGGTTATTTTGAAAGGCAGAAGTCATCTTCACACAAATAATTTAATTTTGAAACATTCAGTCTGCCTTCAAAAGAAGTTTTTCAAAGATACACATCAACACCACCACTGCACTGAAGGTTATTACTTCATAGAAATCAAAGCTTCAAATAACAGATAACAGTGCTGGTGTTTCATAAAGAAGATTGTAATCTATACTAACAACAAACAAATAAGACAAAATAAAAAAACTACCTGGGAATAAAATTCAGATTCCAAAGAATTTCAATTTTCTAATTGTGACAATACATATTTAAACTAAACACATTTTTATAAATGAGAACATTTTAGCATCCAAGGGAAATCCAAACAGAAAATAAGGATTCAAGGAGAGGTATGCAGATTCTCTTTTGCATTTTAATAGAAAATTATGTCCTAATCTTTTTCACAACGTATACCTATATCAAATCATCACACTGTATACTTCAAATGCCTCACAATTTCATTTGTCAATATATATACCTCAAAAAAAAAAAAGTCTAGGATTGAAACTCATTAAAAAAAAAAAACTTACGGCCCAAACCAAACAAAGACTTCTCTTATATTCCAAATGCCACCTTATCTATAAATCAACTTTTAAACTTCAAAATAGCCTCTTCTGGGAGGGAGTATATAGAGACTTATGACTGATTTGCATTGTGTGGCAGAGGCCAACACAACATTGTAGAGCAATTATCCTTTAATCTTAAAAAAAATCATCTAAAAAAAAAGCAAAACAACAACAAAAACAAACAAAAGTTGCCTCTTGTATGTGAAGAAAAAATTAAAACATGTTTTCTGCAGTAATATACATACTAAAATACTTTGCTTTTTTCAACCAAAGAAAAAACGACACTGACCACATACTGAACCTCAGAATTTCGAAGCTAGAAGGCTCGCTGCAAAGCACACTGCACTGAGAACCTTGGGCCGGGCCAGCACTCCAGTCCAGACTGAACTTTCTAACACATCGTGTTTTGTCATCAGAAAGATAAGAGCTCACTGTACAATTTTTCATATAAAAACAGACTTTTGAGACACTTGTCCCCAGAGTGCTTCTTTCATGACCATTTTATCACTCCTTTTGTGTATTACAGTAATTAACATGATATCTTACCCTTAGGAGCTATTTCTTACTATGTCAGCTGTCGTGGCCAAGTAGCCACCTTAGATAAACATGAAGCTACAGGATGGGTCATTCTGACCACTGGGGTTCCTCTTTCAGTGGGACCAACTCAGAACCAAGGTAACAGTGAACTTCCCTGTGGTCCAGTGGTTAAGAATCCACCTGCCAATGGAGGGAACACAGGTTTCATCCCTGGTCCAGAAGTTTTCACAGACGATGGGGCAATTAAGACCATGTGCTGCAACTACTGAAGACAAACGCTATGGAGCCCGTGTGCCCTACTGCGCTCCATTCTTCCATCAACAGAAGCCAGCACAACACGAAGCCCTAGCTCGTCACAACTAGCAAAAGCCCACATGCAAACAGCCAGACCAGTCAAAAATAAAAATATTGTTCTTTTAATCCCACACCCTAAAAATTAAACAAAAAAAAGAAAAAACTACAGTGATTGATAATTTCCCTTTGTAATTTTTTAAACCAGTCTCTCCAAATAAACTTATTGAACAAAGCATATCATTCTCTTATATCTCAATATTAGAAATTAAGTTAGTTACCTCTCTTAAAACTGTGCTTTTGTAGCCTCGATACAATCCTTGGATGCCCTGAAACAAATAAAAAGCCAAGAGCTCAGAAAGTCAGAATAGCAGCCATTTCTAAACAACATTCTACATAAAGCAGATTAACTTTTTCTAAAGTTTGAGTTTTAAAATATTCAGAATGACTACAATTCAACTAAGCTTTATTCGTTTTCAACATTTCATCTCTTGGAAAAAAAATACTTGGGATGTTTTAAATAAACAAATGCAAATACACACAGAATGCTATCCTTTCATATAAAAACAATTATATTTATATTTCATATTTTCAATCATCAGACATGATAAATTCATAAATAATCTCTCAAAAGTGATAAATACCTCTGGGCAAGCCTTGATCTATTTAACTACCTATATGATTCAACAGGGACCCTTCCCTGGACTGATCTCATTCACACCTCAATGAGGAGACATTGAGATTGTTAAAAATAACTCCCCTAAAACCTGGACTCAGTGAAATTTTCATGAGATTGATTTTCATTTAAAAAAAAAAAAAGATGGGGGGCCTTCTGTACAAACTATAAAGAAAAGCAGCTCAATGGTCCCCAGTCACATGGTCAGCAAGCATGATTTCTGACCCACAGTTTAACATGAACCAGTATAAGACGAATTACAAGTAAATATAAATATTATGACATGGGTCACTAGTATCACTCCATTACCACAGGTCTCTTCCATGGTCCTCAAATTCTGTAGTGATGTTTTAATACATCTTTATTCACTTTATATATTCACTATTTATTCTATTTCTGATTCCGAAAGAACAACAGGCCGATTACAATGTAGGGCACATACTTAATGGTGTATTTGTTTATAAATTTGAAAAAGAAATAAAATTGAAAATAAGAAACTGAAAACAATGGAAAGGCAAAGATAATCTTAGCATTAACATTGCTATAACTGGACAATAAATTTAGCCTTAAGCTCTAAGGCTCCTGGGTCAGGCCACAGTGCTCCTATCAGCTACAATAAAATATCCTCAATACAAGAGCGTAAAAACATATTCTCAGGACTTTCCTGGTGGCCCAGTGGCTAAGACTGTGCTCCAATGCAGGGGGCCAGATTCGATCCCTAGACAGGGAACTAGATCCCTCATGTGACAACTAAGACTCGATGCAGCCAAAAAAAACATACATATTCTCACCTCTTGACATAAGATGTTAGAGAAAATGTGAAATGTTCCTGAAGAAGCAGATACTTGTGCCCTCTGCTTAACTACTTCAGAAGGAACTCGAATCAGGCAGGCAACCTAAAATACATAAATTTAATTATATCCTTAAAGTGAAGTAATTGTTATGAGAGTAGAAATTTTTTCATGAGCAAAAAATGTAGTTAAAGAAAAGCATAATGTACAGTGCCCACTGCAAGACATCAAAGGGTTTTCTGTTTTTGTTTCTTTTTTAACCTAAAACACTCAGAGCATTAATGGACATGCATTGTTCTGTGGGGATCCTCCCACCTCCTGCCTCACTGCTCCAAGCCCACCCATCTGTATACCCCTCCATGGGAAGGAGCTCACGTACTCATTCTGAACTCCCAACACCTAGCAGGGCCTCTGGCATTTACACAACAGCTATTTCAAACATGTCTGCTTGATGAATGAATCAAAAGTGCCTTAGCTTTACTGGAGTAATACACAATGACAGAGGCAAGACTGAAAAATCAGCTGATAACACCAATCTTCCATTCCACTCCATTCCCAGCCTCAACCTGCTCACAGCTTCAGCAGCCCTGACCTCCCCACCACTCGACAGCTGAGGAGTAACCCCAGGCACTCTTGGGCCCTGCTCCAGCATTTGAGTAGACTTGGGTCCTGCCTGGTCCATACCATTTGTTGACTAGACCAGCCAACAAATAACTGTAACATCACTCTTGGGGACATGCCAGCGTCAGTTACACAGCACCTCAATCTCACACTTCCAGGACTCTGCTTTCAGTAGCCCACTTTTCTTTAGAGAAACAGTTAACAATAAAGAACTGGCCATATCAGAAGGGACTCTGCCCACTGGAGGACAGAAGGCAGCAGGGAACAGGGAGGGAGATATATAAACTGATATTTTAAACTGCTATAACGGAAGTCCTATACTTAAGCCTCCACAGACCAAGCAGTCTGCCAAGGATACAAATTTTTTCTCCAACTCGGAATTCACACCCCTGACTCTGGTGTTCAGTGTTTTGTATACGGTTGAGATTAATTTTAAAACTTTCAGAATATGTATTTCATATATATGAGGCACAATAAAAAAATGTGGACACTCTTTCTTCAATAACACATGCAACAAAATGGAAATAAAAACAAGAAATTTAAGAAAACCATACCATCAAATAGGATACTTGCCATTTTCAATCTGCAGTCTCCTAATTCCTAATTTGAAATTATGACGCAATTTGGGTATTATATAAGGCTTTGTCTTTCTAATATTAAGTAGCTCTTAATATTAAGGTACAAACTGGGCTTCCCCAGTGGTTTAGCAGTGAAGAATCTGCCTGCCAATGCAGGAGACTTGGGTTCAGTCCCTGGGTCAGGAAGATCCACTGGAAAAGGAAATGACAACCCAATCCACACTATTCGTGCTGGGAAATCCCACTGACAGAGAAGCCTGACGGGCCACAGTCCATGGGGTCACAAAGAGTTGGACACGAGTTGGTGACCAAATAACAGCAACGACAAAGGTACAAATCAGCAAACTTTTTATATAAACAATCAAGCAGTAAACAGTTTAGACTTTGCAAGCCAACGATCTCTGTCACTACAGTTGAACTATGCTGTGTGAACACAAAGCAGCAAAGATAGTAATCTGTAACTGAATGGTGCGACTGTGTTCCAATAAAACTTTATTTATAAAAATAGGCAATGCTTTGCCAAACCCCCCCCCCCCCCCGCCCAGACATAAACACGAGCAAATCCTTCCTTCGTATTCGCCTCAGCAAGAGCAAAGCAGACACAGGACAGACGTAGGTCTCAGCAACCCCAGGACACAAGGAACAGAGATGGTGTGTGATGTGATTCCAGATGTCATGGAGTCAGCTAACAGGGCCGTATCACCTCTGAAACGTAGCTCAGAAGGAACAGGACTTTATGTGGATGCACTCCAACTGCTCTAACAAGGATAGCAAAGGATTGATGACCTCGTCATTTTTCTCCCCAAAGTGACAAGACGTACAAAACAATATTATTTACCGTGTTTTTCCTCATTCATCAATCACTTGAATGCTTTTTGTCTGCAAAGCTATTTGCAATTCAGGCCAGTTTATCTTTCCACCCATAGCCTCCTTTCACATTTACCTGATTCAGTTCAATAAAAACAGATGGAGCCAGATACAGCACACTGCCTGGTAAAGACGACTAAGAAGCTGCCCTGACCTCAAAGCACCCACAGTCACATAACAGTTTCAGCAATACATGGCAAGAAATAGAATAAAACTTCAAAGAGGCAGAGACATGTATCATAGCAAATGGAAAGGAGGGGTATTTAGTCCAACTTCCAAACTGAAGGAAAACGAAAACTGTCAGATATTATGCCTTCAGAGAGCCTTCCAAATGAGCAAGAATTAGCTGGCGAAGAAAGGTAAAAAGGGCATGATGGGGAGTGGAAACAGAAAAGCACACAAGTATGAAAGCAGAGTGTTCAGAGTAACAGAGTCATCCCTCAGCATTCCACAGTGTGGACTCACCCAACCCATTCCATACCACCAAAACTTCAAGTTTAAGGTCAGAAGTCATGGGGAGTAAGACTGAACAGATGGCCGAGCAAGGAGGCCCTGTGCCACACACAGAGGCTGGGCTTCAATGCACAGACAACAGCAACAACTGGAAAAGTCTAGGCAGATCTGCAGCTGCAACACAGACAGACTTGGAGGGCATTGCGCTGAGTGAAGAGAAACAGAAAAAGATGAATACAGTACGATACCACTTACATGTGGAATCTAAAAAAAACAAACACAATGAACCAGTGAATATAGCAAAAGGAAGCAGACTCACAGATACAGAATAACTCAGTAGTTACTAATGGGGAGAAGATGTTGGGGAAGGGGAGTTATAGGCGATTGAGAGGTACAAACTATCAGATATAAAATAAGGTACAAGGAAAAAAATAAGCAACAAGGATAAACTGTACAAAACAGGGAACACAGCCAATAATTTACAATAACTATAAGTGGAGTATAATCGCTAAAAGTTGTAAACTACTGTATTGTACACCCGTAACTTACATAAAACTTTACATCAACTATGCTTCAATTAAAAAAATACATAAAATACATACACAAAGTTTAGGCAGAAGAATGATAACCTGTGTGTGCTTTAGGGACATCACTCTGGCTGCAGCAGGTAGAATACTTGGAGGATGAGAGAGAATGGTAAGAGGCAAAGAGGAAAGACAAAAAGAAAGCAAAAGACAAGCTCTCAGACTGCTACAACAGTTCTGTAGAAGATATCAGGACATGAACACGGTTCATAAAAGAAGGAAATTTGAGTCAGGAGTTAAACGAAAGGACCCGGTGACTGATAAGAGGTCAATATAGCGGTGCTGTTAAATGAGACCAGGGGTCAGAGGGGGAAAACAAGTTTAGAGTTCAGACTGCGAAACGCTGAGAAGTCTGTGGCACATGTAAGGGGCTCAATCTGGTCAAGAAATTAGTATCTGACTAAAGCTAGAAAGTAACAGGGCTAGAGATACAGACAAAGAAATCATCAGCATTAAGTGGTAGCTGGAACCAAGAGAGTGAATTAAACTACCTAAGTAAAAGGCAAAAAGGAAAGGTCAGAAGGTCAAGAACAGAATCCTGAGGAACAACCATTCTTAAGCAGACAAAAAGACTCGATCAGACATATTAGAAGGAAAAAACTGCTGCAGTGAACACTGGTCTTCTGTGGCTGCCCAGTTTTCAACGCTCGTGTGTGAGAGGCCCCCCTACTGAAGAAAACAAAAGGTGTCAGTCCCTTTTCTCCCTGGCCACGTCACCAACTTAGGCTTAACTGTCAGTTACTCCCACCCAAGGGTTTGCATCCTGAGCGACACCGGCCAATCCGAGCCACGAGTCCCGTGAGGCCACAGCGCACTGGCCTAGGCGCACGCGCAATTGAAAGGTGCTGTCAACACAACACACACAGAGGATGCTGAACGTTTTAGTGTCAAAAAATGATGCAAAATATCCCATTAATAATTCTTTTATACTGATTACATGTTGAAAGGTTAACACTCTGGATACGTGTGGGTTGAGAACATGTATTAAAATCATCCAGCTAGCTTTTTATTTTTCACTTTTCTAATGTGGTTACTAGAAAAAGTAAAATTACACCAGTGTCAGAGAGTCTTTCTGTTGGACAGTACTGTTCTGGGGCTACCAAGAGAGCAACATCCAAGGTCCAGGGGCAGTCAGTGGGCAGTGCCGGGGGCAGCATCCTAACTGTACTGACCCTAAGATACAGGCCTGACCAGGGTCCTTGCCATGGCTTCCCTTCCCATTCATTTCCCTCATTCTCCAGTCTTCCACCTATTCTAAGAGCCATCAAACAGTGTTCTGAATCAATTACAGAATCTCTTTTGGATAAAGCAGCAAAACACCAACTAGTGGCTTGGGCAATCAATGACATTAAGTTGTCACCTAACAAGTGTTTTGGTCAACATTTAGTGCAGAACCTCTACAAAGTGAGCTAGAATCCATGCTCTTTCTCTTTCTTCTCTGCCAGCGCTGGCGTATTGGCCTTCCACCCACAGGCTTGCTGCCTCATGAGTTATGTGACTCAAAATCCTCCAGCAGTCATACAACTGGATTCCAGGCAAGAAAAGCTCTTTTTTTTCAGATGCCCCCTAGTGGGTGTCCACTTGACCATCATTGTGACATGGCCACCCCCTCTTAGGAAGGCTGAGAATATGTAGATCAAGAAAAGGGTTAGGGACATTGCCACCCAAAGCAAATCAAGGGAGAAAGAGAAAGCAGCAATGTCTACCAACTTTCCAAACACCAACCTTTTTTCTCACACGATAGCAAGATCAATTTCAACTGCAAGCAACCAAGAATGCTACTTGACCGCTGATAGTCAAAGGGACCAGAAGACTCAGAGGAAGATTTCCAGAATAATGGGTCACAGGTCTCAACCAGTGCACACATTAGGGCTAGTGAAGGTCCCAAGAATGGTTTCAGTGGAGGGCTGGGGCAGGAGAGTGAATCCACACTGAATTACAGTGAATTCACAAGTGATTCAGAGATAGAGATGGGCAAGTGTGGACAACTCCTAAAGAAAGC